ATATAATAAAAAAAAAAAAAAAAAAAAAAAAAAAAAAAACTACTACATAAGACTAGAACTTTTTATTTATTATTATTATTCATTTCAATTGGCAAACGACAAATGAGCCATTGATTCAATTCATTTCTGTTATTTGCATATTAGCTTGGGGTGATCCGGAAGGTTGAACAGGAATAGATAGACAAACTTCTTGGAAGTGTTCATAATTTTCTATCAAGTATGTAAGATTTTGTTTGTAAAGTTCCCATAACTAGGAAAGAAAGAAAAGGCAATAGATGGAAGGAATAATCTTTCTGCTACCATCTTATTAGGCAATCATTTGTTTTGTAGTCAAAACTCATCCAACCTTTTCTTTATTCATTATCATTTTAAGTGTAGGGACCTAAATAAGTTAAGAGCATCTTTATCCCTGAAACGGTTTTGGATAGCATTCTTTTCTTCACTTACAAATTGTATATAGAATTATGAGTCCTTTTTCTATACAAAACGTTAGCTTATAGAAGCAACTCTAAATATTCTCTCTCCACTCATTGCTTACTAGTTTAACAACAATTCTTGAAGAATAAAACTCATCCCATAAAAATGCTTTCAATTTTGTCTCATTATTAACAGCTGATTGCTCTGGATGCATATCTTAGATAATAAATACATCTTATATATTTTGAATTGCTTAAAAAACATTGATTAAATAGTTTAAAAGTCGTTACATAAATTACTAGCATCAGATTAAAATGCAACACATGTTCCTCTGCATGCACTCTGTGATTCCCTGAATCTGGATTCTCTGCCACCAACGGGCTATATTCTCTACCGCAGCAAAATCCAAAAAAGTGCTTCCCCTATTTTATAAGCTAACATAAATAAACGAGAAATTAATTAGGTGATTCAAAATCATTTTAGTTCCAACCAATCTTCATATAACATGTAATTAATTTTTATAAATTAAAAACTTGAATGTGTATCACATAGAAATTAATTGGGACAAATACGTGATAGTACGTAACTACCTGATAATTTCTCTCTTGTAATTGTCTCATTGCTTAATATTGTATCCCTCTATTGTACTTCTGTGTCTCACAAGTCACAAACACAGACAAAACTCCAACAACAAAAAACATCTCTCCTTGTTAGTCCCCCTTCAAAACCAAACATGTCTTCTTATTCTTCTTCACCCCACCCCTTTTATCAATTAGCCACATCAAAAAGCACAGGTGAATGCAACAAGGTTGAATAGTGGAGGGAGATGGAGAAGAAGAGAAGTCACAAAGTATCTGTGATGGTGTTGCAAAGCAGTGTGAAGAAGCTTCACCTTGGAAGCTGGGAAGAAAAAGAGGTGGCAGCAAAGGTGATTGAAAAGTTGGCTAAAGAAGATTTGAAGGTAAGAGAGTGTTGGAGAGTTTTTAAGGCCGGGAAGCATTTCACACAATGGGTAGTGAGTAAGTCATACAAGTGAGCTTGACACCACAACATAACCTAAAACCTTTGAACTCCAACATTCCCCCTCAAGTGTGAATCCCTTCCACATGGTCACACTCCTCCTCAAGCAGAAGCTTTTTTTCTTTCGTCCACGAGTATTTAATGGTGGCCTTACTTGCACTATCGTTGCACTTCAACGACACACGTCCTCCACACCTCTAGGGAGACTTTCAGTACAAGGGATGATCCTACTCTTGGATCTCCTGCCAATTCCATTCAGGATCCCACTCTTAGATCCAACCAATACTCGTCTGAGCCGATCACCAGTCACTTGGTCGAACCATCGGCTCTGATACCAATGTTGGAGAGTTTTTAACGCCGGGGAGCATTTCACACAATGGGTAGTGAGTAAGTCATACAAGTGAGCTTGACACCACAACATAACCTAAAACCTTAAGGCATTAGGTAGGTGGGTCTTTCTCACTTATATATTACTCAACATGTCCAACTCTAACCAATGTGGGACTTCACTTCACACTTGAACTCCAACAGAGAGTTGACAAGTGAGCTTGGAGTGGTGAGTGTCTTGGTTACTATGGTAGCTTCTGAGGTGGCCACCCGTCGCCAAGTAGGACTCAAGGCCTTGATCCAATTATCCAATGGTCATCACAGGTAAGGCTCATAATAGTTTAGTTCTTTGCATCTCTTTATGCAGTTCAATGATGTGCATTTTGACTTTGGATCACCACCATGTTTAACATGCAATGCTAAGATTAGTCAGAAGAAGCCCAATTAGTATCAGAGTTTATTTGGATATAAATTAGAACTACTTTTGAGAATTTTTCTACTAACAAAAGTTCTTTATATTCAGTAAAAAAAATTCTAAAAAATTCTTGTAAACTTATATCTAAACATATCCTTAATAATCAAAATGGAAGCTTTGTGTCAAGTAATTTGCTGGGTTATAGGATGAGCTACAAGGGAACAAAGATCTTATTGAATCTGCATCTGTCTTCCATCTTTTTAAGAAAATAAAATTGGTTTGCCGATATTTTTCATCTTCAATTTAATAAATTGGATTATAAAATATATGGCAGTTGGGAAGATACCATTATGGTTCTAGAACAATTTTGAAGTCTTTTCTGACATTGATTCATCTCCCTAGGTATTTTTAATTCAGATCCCCGTTGACATTCCTCTGTAGATGATTTATTACTGATAAGGTTTTTAAAAAACGGTATCAAGGATTTTGAAGTATTTCCAATCATAATTGTAGCCGCATTAGCTGTATTTATCTATAATTTCCTCTGATATCAAGGATCGTGACAAAATTATGATTCCAATCGCAATTTAAAACCACAATTACTGTATTTAATTTGGTTGGTTTGGAACTCATGACCTCTAAGTAATAAACACTTATACGCAGATTTCATCATTCCTTTCGAAAGGAAAATTATATTGATGAAAAAGAAAGGATTGGAGAATATAGGATGACAGTACATGACCTTACTCTAGACAATCACTCCAAACTCCAAAGTACTCAACCAATAAATGTCACACAATCAATTGAGATTTGAGACAAAGCGCCACAAAAGAAGAACCTTTGATAAGTCGGATATTCTCACCAGAACATCAAGTAACAAGTAATAAACTTCCAATGAAATTGTTTTCATTGAACTCTACTGGTAGAGAGTTGAGCTATTGACAAGTTTGTCCTGGCATTAATGCATCAAGCATTTGCTTTAACGTAACTTTGATTTAGTTGAAACGCTCTTTACAGGAATTTTAAGTTTCTTCATTTTTCAGGAATAAGGCTTTGATAGTGGAGTCAGGAATACTATCCAAGCTGCCCAAGAAAATTGACCTTGAAGATGAATCAATAAGTGAATTTGCACACTTACTCTCTTCATTATCATCTCTACAATGTTAGAAAATATTAAATAATATTATAATGTGACTCATGTGAGTTAAGAGTTTAAACATGATTTAATAAAATAAAAAGACTTATTGGCAAAATATGGAAAGTTATTATTTTCAAATTCTCTATTTTTTCATTATAATTAATTAAATATTTTATACAAGAAAAATAAGGAGCGAGAACAATTTTCAAAGAAATATTTATAATCACATAACATGCGTAGCAATAGTTAATATTAGAAAATATACATATAAAAATTTGAATTACACTTGCAGTGAGGATAAATGAGCATTAATATCAACCAACAAAAGGATTTTTAATCTTAACTCCTTACTCATTTAAATCCCCAAGGTCAAACCTCCAGCTACAAATAATTCAAATTTTATCTTCTATAGCCATAGAATAATATTTATCTTTAAATACGTGAAGAAATAACAATAAAACGAGTCAAAGATATTTTAAGAAAATTATATTATGGTTAATCATAAAAACAATCAAGCTAAACAAATTTGAGTATTTATCATTATTTAAGCTCTAAATAAATAACATTTACGTAAATGAAATATATTAAAGAGCACCAATCAAGTAAATGACAATGATAATCATTATGAAATAATTAAACAGTATAAAATATGAACATCTTAATAATTATTATGGATAAAAATAATCATAGCTTAAGCAAATAAATGAGATTAGGGACACCTCACTAAATAATTACACATAGAAAATAACATAAATAAATAAACATAGTAGTATATAAAATTTTAAAGAGATAAAGTTTTCCTCCCCCTTACCTTAAGGTTGTTTATTTTTGTTTCTTTTTATCTTTCTCTTTCTTTCTCATTTTTCTCTTTCGCTCTCTTCTTGAACGTTTTTTCACAAGTTTCGTTCACTATCTCTTTCTTTTTTTTTCTTACCCCGATTCCATTCACTAGCCCGTATTGTTCACTAATTTGGAATAATATTCTTATCTCTATGATGATTTGGTGTACTTGCATTCTCCCCTATTTATAGGTAAATAGTGTACTTGCATTCTCCCCTATTTATAGGTAAATAGGAGCCCGTATTGTTCACCGACCACGATGAGGTAATATTGTGTAACAAGCCAACATTGGCCAAGAGAAGGAAATGAGAGTCAAGGTCCACATGGCTCAACAGAAAATGGAATGAATGAGCAAATGATTGGCAATCAGATGAAGACAAATTCGGTTATGCAAGAAGGATACGTGGAGCAATTTCCTTGGATCATGCACCCCAGGAAAAGTGACCGAATGAAACGTGAGAATGTGCGCCTAAGGGGATACGTGATGGGCCAGTGATTTTCCTTTTAAAGAATCTCTCAGGATGAATAAGAGTAGTGATGATTGTTGCATTGAATTCTCTCTCTCTTC